GGTACCAATGTGATTGCCCTAGACGGTCTCACACTCAGCAGCTTGCCTCAGGGGGTATTACCCGTTGCCAATGGACCATGACATACTCGGATGGGGAAAGCCGTTTGTATGCATTGAGACAGTTGAAATGGTGGGTGTCCCAGGCTTGGTCTTGCAAAACAAAAGCCAAACATCAAGCCTTGCGAAAGAAGGTACCAGGCCCAGAAGAACTTCCTAGTATGGAATCATTAGACGCAAGCAAACCTGATGAGGATCGTGCGCTCACTGAGGATGAGGCTGAGGCTGTGGAGCCTCCGCCAGCAAAACGGGCGCGTGGGCGTGGCCGCGGTCACGGCAGCTCTGTAGCTGCCTGCAGCAAGGTAGGTGCAAAGGCCAAGGTGAAGGCAAAAGGTAAGGCGACAGCGCGAGGCAGAGGCAGAGGCTCTGCGCGGGCCCCGCCAGACGAGGCTGGATCAGATAGTCCAGGCCCAGGCAACGCAGACTCAAGTTCTTCAGAATCTGATGAAGCCTCGGTGCAGTCGAGCTCGTCAGACTCCAGCTCCAGCTCATCCACAAACTCCTAGCATTCCTTGCAGACCATTGCTTTACCCGGTCTTCTTGACTCACAGTTTGCGTGACTTCAGCTGGAAATGTTTGCAGCATGCGCAGCGCGGGTCATGTTAACATGCCTTTTCAAACTTGTTGTCTTGCCTTTGATTGCAAGCTGCTTGAGACTGCTTGAGACCATGAGTGTAGCAGGAGGCAGTCAGTTCCGTGTTCCATGTGCCAAGGGTCCAAGGGTGCTGGGGATTAGAGATGCAGCTTCAAGGAGGCTTTTTGCTTCCTAGGATGAGGGCGGCTTCTTCCCTGGGACTACTTTGTATGTGTGCTTCCGTACATGTCCTTCTTCATTCCCGACATGGGTGCTGAGGTGCGCTCCTGAGTTTCAGCTCACGCTTGAGTGTCGAGTCTAGAGTTTGAGTGTAAACTTGGGGACCAGGTGCCATGTGGTCGCTCCAGCCGGCCTGCCTCATGGTCTTTCCTTGCAGAGGGCAGCAGCCTCACCTTTCTTTAAAACCGCACCTTTGTGTAGCCTCTTGTCAATGTCACTTTGATAACCTTTGCTCCTCAGGTTGCCGGTGATGTGTTGCTCAGCCCAGGAGGTTGAGGCAGGAGGCTCAGCTTCAGCCACAGCCAGGTCTTTTGAGGGTCATAATAATAACTTCTTACGCTGATATAGGCCAGCAGTTTGGCAGCTTAGATAGTACCAGCATAGAAAGGAAGTTGCAGACGGAGGTTATCAAGCATTTGGTCTTCATTGTTTGTTTCCTTCAGGTGCTCATCGACTTCCTTGTCTTCAAGCAGTTCATCGTGGCTACCCAGTGGTGTGGCAGGACTGCTGCCGGTTGCGATTCAGACAAAGGTTGAATCCAACACTTGCAGCATGGGCAGGATGCAACACATGGCCGCCATCGTGCTCAGCTGTCGGCACCTTTGCAGTTGCGTTCAGAACCGCACAGGGAACCTGTTTTGTGAGCTTTAGTGGGTTATAATCTAGCACTTTTGAAGGCGTAGGTTACTGCTTCTGTTGGTGCTCAATCTTGTTTTGCTGCATTCTTGTCAGTCTTTGCGCAAAGCCTTTGCAAGTGGGTTGGTTGGGGGTGAGGAGGGTCTAACGTGCTTCCTGGCTGGGGCTGCCTGGGGCGGGCTGGCTGGGGCTGGCTGGGGCTGGCTGGCTGGCTGGGGCTGGTGGGGCTGCCTGGGGCTCTTGCTTCCATTTAAAAGGGAAATCCTTGGGCTTTTCTGAGAAACCTTGAAAGTTTCTCAAAACAAGCAGAAAACCTGAAACAGCATCAAAACACCTCCTGCAACAACTTGGCAAAACCAGCGAAAACACAAGAGAACCCAGGAGAACCGAGGAGAACCGAGGAGAATGAAACCAGAACCGAGGCGAACCAAGGCGTGAACCGAGGCGAACCGAGGCGAAGCGAGGCGAACCGAGGCGGACCGAGGCGAACCGAGGCGTATCGAGGCAGGTGGCCATGGTCCGGCAAGGACCATGGTGCTCTCTCCTGTGTGCACTCAGAGCTTTTGAAAGCAAATCAAGAAATTCACAGATATTCAAGAGTTTTGATAATGTTTTCGAAATCCTCCCAAAATCTGCCCAATGTGCTAGTTTTGTAAGGAGTGCTGTGACATGTTTTGCAAAGT